ACGAATAGTGCTCTCTAGTGCCTTGCGTTTTCAAAGAGTTAAAAAGCACCAAGATCTAAATATATGACAGCTTTTGATTATTGATTATTGATCAACTACACATAGAACATAGCTCTAGAGTTTATACACTGTTTACTGATTATAGATTTTTGATTAAATCAACTACATATAGAACATAGCTCTAGAGTTTATACACTGTTTACTGATTATAGATTATCGATTGAATCAACTACATATAGAACATAGCTCTAGAGTTTATACACTGTTTATTGATTATAGATTATCGATTGAATCAACTACATATAGAACATAGCTCTAGAGTTTATACACTGTTTATTGATTATAGATTATCGATTGAATCAACTACATGCTGCTTTATCTGAATATGTTTCATTTGATCCATTGAGACTTTTTATGAGCAGAGAAATGTGCTGAAAGGAGATTGTTGTTCCACATGGTTCTCTTATTTTTATCGAATGCTGTTGATAATGCATTAAAGAGGAACTAATACTCTGAGTAGTTTTTCAGAAGAATACTAACATTTAAGCAGTTTTCCTGAACATGGCTTCAGTTTGGTTTAGTTAGTTGGAGACTGTGTAGTCGGAGTACGGTAAGTAAGACTAAAGGAGATCAACTGCATTAAGCTTCATTAGGTTCAGTATGAGCACAGACTGTTGGTCTAATGGTGCTCATAAAACCTGGAATGGAACAAAAATCCAAATACACAAAAAATCAGGAAAATAAACTTTGAATCAGGTTTTATTCAAATCAAAGCATATTTCTGACTTCATGGGGTCAAAGGTCAACTACTAGAATGTGCATTATTTGTTAAAGCATCATATCCAATAAACACAGAGGCAACAACTGAGTGCAGTCCTTCCAGCATTCAGTAGAAGCTTTGATGCTCACATGTTGACTGGATCATAATAACTCACAAGGAGAGGTTCCAAACAACTGCTGCTGTAGAATCACTGTGGATTGGGAAAGAAAATACAAAGCACATTCATTTAAATAAAGTAAAGTCAAATTGCTTCATAAGTACAGACATATATTTGTTAAGTTTTTTAAGATTTACGTCTTCAGCAGGAACAAACAGGGTTGGAGCTGAGAGCCACAGACAGGAAGTCAAAGTATTGAGAGACAGACAACATGTTGTTGTTTTTGGTCTTTTCATGCTCAGAGTAATAAAAATATAAAGTAATACAATAATTTCAGCAAACATGAGGATAAAAATGTAAAATCCTGGACTTAGCTGATGGCTGTGTGTCAGCTGTGAATCCATGTGGATGTGAGAGGATCTCCTTGGAGGTCCTACTCTGCTCCCTGAGCTCCTTCCTCTTCAGTCGGACCTCCTCCAGCTGCAGGAACACCCAGGTTATAATCATCCAGCTCAATGTTCTCCTGTCTGCCCGGCTTCTGGCCCCTGCTGGCCTGGATAGACAGGACAGTATGAGTCCTCAGTTCAGTTTAATAAACACAGACTGAGTGCTTCATTTCAGTCAGTCCTCTAAACAACAGACAGTGTCAGTACCTTACAGTAGAAATAGAGGGCGGTGGTCACCACCAGCAGAGTCAGCAGCAGGACGACCACTCTGATGAAGTGATGATGAAGTGATGGATCTGATCAAACATGTACGTTAACATTAATGTGACATTATGCAATATTTCATATTCCTCTTTGTGTTATCATCGTGTTATGTAATGTTATCTAGTAATGTTGGCTGTCGTCTAACGGTAGCTAATGGGTTGTCAAAAGTTTTACTTTGAAATACGACTCGATCAGTAACAGTGTCTCATCTTTTCCAAAGCAGCACGTAAACAGTCAGTGAGACAGTTTCTCTGCTTCAGCTTACCTGAGACAGTGAGAGACAGCAGACGGCTCTCAGAGAAGAAGTTGTGAGAAAAAACATAGACGTGATAAACACAGCTGTAGTTTCCTTGGTGGGCGGGATCTGCAGCAGGAAACAGGGAGTGGGCAGAGTGATTGACAGCCGGCTGGGTGTAGTTGTGTGATGTGTTGGAGGAGGTGAAGGTGAGCTGGAAGGAGCCTCCTGGGTACTGAGGCTGGATGGAGCAGCTGATGGTGAAGTTGGGGCCCCTGAGGACCCAAAGCCCCTGCTGCTGGGCCTGGGAGACCCCGTCCATGGAGGAGGACATAGAGATGTTGGGTTGAACCAGCAGATCTGTAATCACAGAGAGATGATGACAGAGAGTGGTAACATCTGCTGTTTCAGTGTGGGTATTTACCAATGGTGCTGGGATCATTACTGTCATATTTCCTTTGTAGCAGAGAAATAGAGCTGCTGTGTTTAAACTACTTTGTTGAGGATAACTGTCAGCTGTCTCTGAATAGAAAGCACACACTACTTTAAAATGCCCTGGTGAACCTGGACTTGTGATAACGCATCGTTGGGAATAAAATATTGGAATTAAAGTACAGTAAGCTTTGTTCGTCTGATTGGAAATGGGGCCAGCTTTGATTCAAGCAGCAAGTAGTCATCATCAGTCAGCACACTTTCCTTCACAGGTGTTGAACACTGGCCTGCTTCTTGTTACATCTCACAGCCTTGATAAAAACTCTATCTTCTGCATTAGGCCTGTAGGGTTCATCTGGAAACAACAGCAGTGAATACAATGATGTTGTTTTTAAGAACTCTTGGAAGCCATTGATTTACTGTTTCATTGTTATTCAACAGAAGAAAGTAAAGATCATTAGCCAATTAGTGTAAAATAACATGAAGCTGTGGGTTGGTTTTCCTCCTGTCCTCCACAATGTTTGAGTCAGCAGCCACTGATGCACACACAGGACCTGGACACATGCATTAGTGGACAGACGTCAGAGTGATGAGGCTGCCACACAGTCGCTGCTCCAAGCAGTTAGGGCTTCAGTGCCTTGCTCAAGAGACCTCAGCAGAGCCCAGGAGGTAAACTGGCATCTCTACAGGTATGTGTGTGTGTGTGTGTGTGTGTGTGTGTGTGTGTGTGTGTGTGTGTGTGTGTGTACGTGTGTACGTGTCAACATTGGTACATTACTGTCAAATCATGTAACTGATTACCTGAACAGATGAGATTTAGGATGGCGGAAGAGGAACCTGGTGTAACACACTCCGTCAAAGCAAATCCAGGCTGAACACAGTCAGAGCGGATCTGCCACACATATCTGATTGAGGACTCCTTTCTCCATCCTACAGAAACAGCAGAACCACAGTCCAGTTCTCTGCAGACAACCGCTGCTGCCCTCAGGGTCCAGTAAGAGCCAATCACTGGTCTCCATTCATTCCTAGTTCCACCTCCAGTGTTCCTGCACAGCGACTGTCTCCTCCCACCAACCTGACAGACTCTGAACAGAGACAAGAGAGTCATCAGTAAAAAATGTGACTTTAATTAAGAAAATCTGAAAGTAAAACTTGATTCTTTGTGTCTCTGTTCTTTCTGTATTTACCTGTTGAGTTGTGTTTTCCTTCAGTCTGCAGTCCTGAGGAGAAAACCAGGAAATAAACATCAGTATAAAGCAGCATTCTGATTGGAGGACACTGACACTGCAGTCAGTTTACCAGTTGACTACAGGTGAGATGAACATTTGAATACACAGAACACAAGTCAGCAGACGGATGATTCCTCGACCTCAGCTCCGGTCTGTCCAACCATCTCACTCCTGGCTGACCTCTCTGCACTTCCTATCACACAACACTGCAAACATTTATTTAAATCACATTAACAGCAGCAGACAAGATCCTATTGTTCACCTGGAAGGTTCCTGTTACCTTTGGCTAATTCATTCATTTATTCATTCATTCATTCATTTGGTCAGAAGGATCTGCACACTGATAACTTCCTCTCTTTAATTCAATTCAATTCAATTCAATTCAATTTTATTTGTATAGCGTCAATTCATAACAGAAGTTATCTCAGGACACTTTTCAAATAGAGCAGGTCTAGACCGAACTCTTTAAAACATTAATTACAGAGACCCAACAGTACCACCATGAGCAAGCACTTGGCGACAAGGGCAAGGAAAAACTGCCTGTTAAAAAGGCAGAAACCTAGGACAGATCCTTTGGCTCTAGGTGGGTGGTCGTCTGTCTCGACCAGTTGGGGTGAGAGAGAGAGAGAGAGAGAGACAGAGAGAGACAGAGAGAGAGAGAGAGAGCGAGAGACAGACAGACAGGTGCACAGCAACAACAGTATTGGCAATGGCAATCTAGCAGGACCATGGCAGGAGGCTCCACCAGGATCGACATGAACCTGCGAGACGAGAAAGCACAAGAACTCCGGGGAAGAAGTGAAGTTAGTAACATGCATTAATGGAACGTGAATGAGTGCAGAAAGAGAGAGGAAGGGAGGAGCTCAGTGCACCATGGGAAATCCCCCGATAGTCTAGGCCTATAGCAGCATAACTAAGGGATGGTTCAGGACTCACCTGATCCAGCCCTAACTATAAGCTTTATCAAAGAGGAATGTCTTAAGCCTACTCTTGAATGTGGTGAGGGTGTCTGCCTCCAGAACCACAACTGGAAGCTGGTTCCACAGGAGAGGAGCTTGGTAACTGAAGGCTCTGGCTCCTGTTCTACTTTTAGAGACTATAGGAACCACAAGTAGCCCAGCATTCAGAGAACGTAGTGTTCTAGAGGGGTAATAGGGTACTATGAGCTCTTTAAGATATGAAGGGGGCTGACCATGAAGAGCTTTATAGGTGAGGAGGAGGATTTTAAATTCTATTCTACATTTTACTCTTTTTGTAGTTCCTGTCAGTACTCGTGCTGCAGCGTTCTGAATTAATTGGAGCGTTTTTAATGGACTTATTGGGGCACCCTGACAATAAAGAGTTGCAGTAATCCAGCCTTGAAGTAACAAATGCATGGATTAGTTTTTCTGCATCTGTCTGTGATAGGATGTGTCTAATTTTTCTAATATTGCGTAAATGAAAGAAGGCGGTCCTAGAGGTCTGCTTTATGTGGGAGTTAAATGACAAATCCTGATCAAAGATTCAATTCAATTCAATTCAATTCAATTTTATTTGTATAGCGCCAATTCATAACAGAAGTTATCTCAGGACACTTTTCAAATAGAGCAGGTCTAGACCGAACTCTTTAACATTAATTACAGAGACCCAACAGTACCACCATGAGCAAGCACTTGGCGACAAGGGCAAGGAAAAACTGCCTGTTAAAAGGCAGAAACCTAGGACAGATCCTCCGGCTCTAGGTGGGTGGTCGTCTGTCTCGACCAGTTGGGGTGAGAGAGAGAGAGAGAGAGAGAGAGAGAGAGAGAGAGAGCGACAGACAGACAGACAGGTGCACAGCAACAACAGTATTGGCAATGGCAGTCAAGCAGGACCATGGCAGGAGGCTCCACCAGGATCCATGAGAACCTGCGAGACGAGAAAGCACAAGAACTCCGGGGAAGAAGTGAAGTTAGTAACATGCATTAATGGGACATGAATGAGTGCAGAAAGAGAGAGGAAGAGAGGAGCTCAGTGCACCATGGGAAATCCCCCGATAGTCTAGGCCTATAGCAGCATAACTAAGGGATGGTTCAGGACTCACCTGATCCAGCCCTAACTATAAGCTTTATCGAAGAGGAATGTCTTAAGCCTACTCTTGAATGTGGAGAGGGTGTCTGCCTCCCGAACCACAAATGGAAGCTGGTTCCACAGGAGAGGAGCTTGGTAACTGAAGGCTCTGGCTCCTGTTCTACTTTTTAGAGACTATAGGAACCACAAGTAGCCCAGCATTCAGAGAACGTAGTGTTCTAGTGGGGTAATAGGGTACTATGAGCTCTTTAAGATATGAAGGGGCCTGACCATGAAGAGCTTTATAGGTGAGGAGGAGGATTTTAAATTCAATTCTACATTTTATAGGGAGCCAATGCAGAGTAGCTAGTACAGGAGAGATGTGATCTCTTTTTCTAGTTCCTGTCAGTACTCGTGCTGCAGCGTTCTGAATTAATTGGAGCGTTTTAATGGACTTATTGGGGCAACCTGATAATAAAGAGTTGCAGTAATCCAGCCTTGAAGTAACAAATGCATGGATTAGTTTTTCTGCATCTGTCTGTGATAGTATGTGTCTAATTTTTCTAATATTACGTAAATGAAAGAAGGCAGTCCTAGAGGTCTGCTTTATGTGGGAGTTAAATGACAAATCCTGATCAAAGATAACTCCAAGATTCCTGACAGTGGTGCTAGAGGCCAAGTTAATGCCATCTAGAGTAACTATATCTTTAGACAATGAGTCTCTAAGGTTTATGGGGCCAAGAACAAGAATTTCGGTTTTTTCTGAGTTTAACATCAGAAAATTGCAGGTCATCCAGGATTTTATCTCCTTAAGACATGTTTGTAATTTAGATAATTGATTAATTTCATTGGATTTGATTGATAGATATAACTGCGTATCATCTGCATAACAGTGAAAGTTAATGGAGTGATTCCTAATAATGTTGCCTAAAGGGAGCATATATAAAGTAAATAGTATTGGTCCAAGTACAGAACCTTGTGGAACTCCATGACTAACTTTAGTATTTATGGAGGATTCATCGTTAACATGTACAAACTGAGAACGATCTGATAAGTATGACTTAAACCAGGTTAGGGCAGTTCCTTTAATGCCAATTTGATGCTCAAGTCTCTGTAAAAGAATATCATGGTCAATGGTGTCAAATGCAGCACTAAGATCTAATAATACAAGTACAGAGACAAGTCCATTGTCAGAAGCAATCAGAAGGTCATTATTAACTTTAACCAGAGCTGTCTCTGTGCTGTGATGAACTCTAAATCCTGACTGAAAATCCTCAAATAAACTATTGTTATGTAGAAAGTCACACAACTCTTTGGCGACTACTTTCTCCAGAGTCTTAGAGAGGAAGGGGAGGTTAGAAATCGGTCTATAGTTGGCTAAAACCCCTGGGTCAAGAGTGGGCTTTTTAAGAAGGGGTTTAATTACAGCTACTTTAAAGGACTGTGGTACATATCCTGATAATAAAGAAAGATTAATCATATCCAGTAAAGAAGTGCCAATTAAGGGAACAACTTCTTTAAGCAGCCTAGTTGGGATCGGGTCTAATAGACAGGTTGATGGCTTCGATGAAGAAATGATTGAAGTTAACTGATGAAGATCGATAGCAGAAAAACAGTCTAAATATATATCTAAGTTTACATTGACAGAAGTCCCTGAACTTGGAGAGCCACTGATAACTGTTGATGGCAGTTGGTGATTCATTTCTCTCTAATAGTAATAATTTTATTATAGAAGAAGCTCATGAAGTCATTGCTACTTAAGTTTATGGGGATATGTGGCTCAATAGAGTTGTGACTCTCTGTCAGCCTGGCTACAGTGCTGAAGAGGAACCTAGGGTTATTCTTATTTTCTTCTATTAGTGCTGAGTAATAGGCTCCTCTGGCATTACGGAGGGCCTTTCTATAAGTTTTAAGATTCTCTTGCCAAATTGAACGATATTCTGATAATTTGGAAGAGCACCATTTCCTTTCAGATTTCCTAGCTATTTGCTTTAACTGGCGGGTTTGGTGGTTATACCACGGTGCTAGTCTCCTATGTATTAATAATTTCATTTTTATAGGAGCGATAGAGTCTAATGTTGATCGTAGTGAGCCTGTAGCACTATCGACAAGATTATCAATTTCAGAGGTACTAAAGTTGTTATAGGACTCTGTTAAATTCAGACATGGCATTGAATTAAATACTGAAGGAATCTCCTCCTTAAATTTAGCTACAGCACTGTCAGATAGACATCTGCTGTAGGAAGTTTTGCCTAATGGCTTATAATCTAATAGTATGAATTCAAAAGTTATTAAATAATGGTCAGATAGGAAAGGATTATGTGGGAAGACTATTAAATGTTCAATATCAATGCCATATGATAGAACAAGGTCAAGAGTGTGATTAAAACAATGAGTTGGTTTATTTACACTCTGACAGAAGCCAATTGAGTCTATTAATGATATAAATGCATTACTAAGGCTGTCATTGTTAACATCCACATGAATATTAAAATCACCTACAATAATTACTTTATCTGATTTAAGGACTAAACTTGATAGAAACTCTGAGAATTCAGATATAAAATCAGAGTACGGTCTAGGAGCGCGGTACACTATAACAAATAGAACTGGCTGCAGTGTTTTCCAGTTTGGGTGAGAAAGACTAAGAACAAGGCTTTCAAATGAATTATAATTTAGTTTAGGTTTAGGGTCCATTAAAACGCTCGAATCATATATGGCTGCTACTCCACCTCCTCGGCCTGTGCCTCGAGGAATGTGAGTATTAATATGACTGGGGGGGTGGATTCATTTAGGCTAACATACTCCTCGTGGGACAACCAGGTCTCAGTAAGACAAAGTAAATCAATATCATAATCTGATATTAATTCATTCACTAAAACAGCTTTAGAGGACAGAGACCTGATATTTAACAGCCCACATTTCATTCTCTTATTTTGTGCTACTGAGGAGTTGGTTTTAATTTTAATTAGATTTTTATGTTGAACTCCTCTTGTTTTTATTTCTTTAAATAGTTTAGGTGGTCGGGGGACAGACACAGTCTCTATGGGGTTTTGGGTGGGTGACTGTTCTAAAGAAAGAGCAGAGAAGTGTGTAAGACAGCAGCTCTGCTTCCTGGTCCTAACTCTGGACTGTCAGGTTTTAGAAATAAACTTCGCCATATTTCTAGATAAGAGAGCCGCTCCATCCAAAGTGGGATGGATGCCGTCTCTCCTAATCAGACCAGGTTTTCCCCAAAAAGGCTTCCAGTTATCAATGAAGCCCACATCGTTTGCTGGACACCACCTCGACAGCCAGCGGTGGAATGACGACATGCGGCTATACATGTCATCACTGGTCACATTGGGGAGGGGTCCAGAGAAAACTACGGAGTCAGACATTGTCTTAGCATAGTTACACACCGACTCCACATTAATCTTAGTGACCTCCGATTGGTGTAAACGGGTGTCATTACCGCCGACGTGGATAACAATCTTACTGTATTTACGTTTATCTTTAGCCAGCAGTTTTAAATATGATTCAATGTCGCCCGCTTTGGCCCCAGGGATGCATTTAACTATGGCCGCTGGCTTCGCTAACTTCACGTTTCTGACTATGGAGCTGCCAATAACCAGAGTTGGTTCCTCAGCGGGTGTATCGCTGAGTGGGGAAAATGTATTAGAAACGTGAAGCGGTTGGTGGTGACCTGTGGGCTTCGCCGTTCTAGTCTTCCTTCGCTCAGTCACCCAGCCTCCCTGTCTTCCCGGCTGCTCGGGAACTACCGGGGGAACTACCGGGGGAACTACCGGAGGATCTACCGGGGGAACTACCGGGGGAACTACCGGAGGAACTACCGGAGGAACTACCGGAGGATCTACCGGGGGAACTACCGGGGGAACTACCGGAGGAACTACCGGAGGAACTACCGGGGGATCTACAGAGCTAACAGAAGCTACCTTTGGTCGGACCGCACCGGCTACTGGGGGCTGGCTAACTATAGCGGCTAAAGATATCTCAGTGGTGCGGTGCCGTTCCTCTAACTCACTAAGCCTCGCCTCCAGCGCAGTAAATAAACTACATTTAATACAGGTACCATTATCTTTAAAGGAGGCAGAGGAATAACTGAACATCTGACACACTGAGCAGGACAGAGGAGAGGGAGAGGGAGAAGCCATAGCTAACTGCTAATGCTAATGAAGCTAGAGTGTATGAAAAACTTTGAAAGTAGTGAAAAGTCCCTAAAAGAGGGAGAAACTCCGAGTGTTTAAGTAGAACTAGTCTACGTTTAAATGTTAAGCGGGTACATAACCGCTGTAACGAGTAAAACTAATTTATATTTAGCGTTCACTGACAGAGCTACAGCACCAAACAGTGTACACAGAGCAGGAAGTAAACCGGAAGTGAGTCAGTACGCTTACCGTAGCACGTCACCGAGCAGGTAAGGGAGATTTAAGGATTTTGCTCGTTTGTATGAATTTTACTTTATTTTTTTTATTTAGCTTGTTTGGTACAAATGTAGCTTAAAGGTCCAGTGTGTAACAGAGGATCTGTTATCAGAAACGTAATATATTATTATAATGTTATTATAAAATGTTCACAGGTATGTTTTCATTGGTTTATAATCAGCTGAAAATAAGAATCATTGGGTTTTGGTTACCTTAGAATGAGACGTTTTTTTATCTAGGGATTTTGCTTATTTTGTACGGAGCCCGTTAGGGGACTAATGGAGAAAAAAAGTTGTTGTTTAAAAAATGAGAGAAATACATTCCCCTGAAAAACTTTATTGTTCTCCAGAGAAATATTCTCAGTGTACAAAAGTGTTTCCCGGCAAACCCCAAGAGTTAAACCTTGTCCTGGTCATTGCTTCATGTGGTTGTTTGGGAAAGGGCAAACTGAAGCTATGGAGAGGTTCAGGGAGTTTTATTTGACCTTTGGCCTCAAATATAAAGACATCAGTGCATCCATAGCTTTGGTTTGCTCTTTCCAGAAGTATTTTGACACTAATATTTTTGGGGGAATGCAAAAGCTTTTTTTCAATACGTTTGTAATAAAGAGTTCTGTTTATTTTATATTAAGGATTTTGGGTATTTCATACAGACTTTGTTTAACCCCTCGTGTGTATCTCGGACTCTGCCACTGACAATAAAGCTTCAGAGGTAATTACAGGATTCACCTTCCAGTGAAGTTTTGTATGGAAGCTCGTTTCTGCCAATGTGACAGAAAAAGAGGATGAAAATGAATGAATGACGTACAGGATCCTTTTTTGTTTCCTCACATTGACATAAACAAGCTTCCACAGTTTCAAGATGATCTTGAGTCTGTTTCCAGCTGGTATCAGGATCTGATCACAGTGATCAGCTCTAAACACTGTGAACGACCGCCGAGACTCACAGTGATCAGACCACTTCCTGAGGTGGTCTGGGACTCATTAATTCAATTCAATTCAATTTTATTTGTATAGCACCAATTCATAACAGAAGTTATCTCAGACACTTTTCAAATAGAGCAGGTCTAGACCGAACTCTTTATAACATTAGACCACATACGTTTTATAGTGTAAAGTCTACAGAGTCCTGATCCTTCTTACTGACTTCTAGAGCCACAGACCACCAGGTAACAAGGATTGCCATTAGTTATCCATTTATTAATCCATTCATTGATTCCTTTCTAGGATAATGATTGCCATGGTTCTAAACAAAGAAAGAACTAATTACAATATCTCCAAAACAAGTCCTTAATCCAGTCTTTAAATCATGTTAAACATTTAAACATCATAAATCTTTCAAATAAAGATTAGACTGACATAAATCAACATAATAGTATTTAACAAATGGTAAATGGACCTGTACCTATAGCGCCTTTCTAGTCTTCCGACCACTCAAAGAGCCTTTACACTACATGCCACATTCAACCTTTCACACACATTCACTCAGTGATGGCGAAATGGCGATATGATTTAAAATGCAATTCAAATCAAGGACACTCCGACATGTGGCACCAGGAGCTACAACCTTCCGATCAAGTAACGACCCGCACTGCCTCTGAGCCACAGCCGCCCACAATGTGACCTTCCTGTCTCTTGTATACCATATGATGTAAATTAATAGAAAGAAATTGCTACTCACATTGAAGGTTCATCAAAAGACACACAGCAAACATCTACATCATCTACACATCATCCAGGTGAAATGTTTGGAGACAAAGGAAGGCAAGTCCAGCCCTCAAGTACATTGAACCAGCAGTTGTCTCCTTGTGGCGAGGACAGCAAATACACTTGTAGTTTTTAACAGCCGTCAGAACAGAAACTGTGTTTAGTTCACTGTGATGGAAACAAAGTGTTTGAGATCAGCAGCAGGTGGTTGTTAGTAACCTCAGCGTCACCAGACTCCATTCAGAAATCACTCAATAATATTACAGTAACTGTTAGTACAGTGTATCAGTACTTTAACTACAGTAACTGTTAGTACAGTGTGTATCAGTACTTTAACTACAGTAACTGTTAGTACAGTGTGTATCAGTACTTTAACTACAGTAACTGTTAGTACAGTGTATATCAGTACTTTAACTACAGTAACTGTTAGTACAGTGTATCAGTACTTTAACTACAGTAACTGTTAGTACAGTGTATCAGTACTTTAACTACAGTAACTGTTAGTACAGTGTATCAGTACTTTAACTACAGTAACTGTTAGTACAGTGTATCAGTACTTTAACTACAGTAACTGTTAGTACAGTGTGTATCAGTACTTTAACTACAGTAACTGTTAGTACAGTGTGTATCAGTACTTTAACTACAGTAACTGTTAGTACAGTGTATCAGTACTTTAACTACAGTAACTGTTAGTACAGTGTGTATCAGTACTTTAACTACAGTAACTGTTAGTACAGTGTGTATCAGTACTTTAACTACAGTAACTGTTAGTACAGTGTATATCAGTACTTTAACTACAGTAACTAGAACAGATCCACAGCTGTTACAATTACAATTTATATTGATTCACAAAGTATTGATCATCGAGTTGATTATTTCAGGAAGTGATGTTAGATGTATTATAAATTATATATATATAGTAGCAGGGTGTAAGATGCTAGCCGGTTCAGCGTACATGGAGAGACACAACCAAGTGGCTGGAATAGTGTACAGGAACATCTGTACCCAGTATGGAATAGAAGTACCAAAATCCCAATGGGCCGAACCACAGAAGGTGGCTGAGAACAACAGGGCCAAGGTGCTGAGGGACTTCAGCTTCCAGACTGACAAACAGGTCCTGGCCAACCAACCGGACATAGTGGTGGTAGACAAGGAGCAGAGGAAGGCGGTGGTGATAGATGTGGCCATACAGACGCCAACATCAGAAAGAAGGAACACGAAAAGGTTGAAAAGTACCAAGGGTTGAAAGAACAGCTGGAGCAGATGTGGAAGGTCAAGGCGAGCGTGATCCCCGTGGTAGTAGGAGCACTCGGGGCAGTCACCCCCAAACTGGGGGAGTGGCTCCAACAGATCCCAGGAACAACATCAGAAGCCTCAGTCCAGAAGAGCGCAGTCCTAGGAACAGCTAAGATACTGCGCAGAACCCTCAAACTCCCAGGCCTCTGGTAGAGGACCCGAGCTTGAGGATGACACAGATACCACCACAACAGGAGAGGGAAGTTTTAATTCATATAATAAATGTTATATATATAGAATTTATATAATATATAAATAAACTGTATCACTTTATAATCAACAAATCAAAAAACTTTTGGATCCAGATCTCGCAAGACTGCGTACTCTCGCTCCGGTTAGCTTTCTTCGCTCTGACGTCACAGCGTTTGAAACAGGGACAGGTAAAGAAAGAGTTCTTTCTCCCCACACAGCTGCTTCATCTGGAATAATTGGTTTATTAAGTTCAAGAATAAATCTTTATTTTATAAAACTTGGTTCAATAATAACATAATTCTAGTATCCCAACTACTAAATGATAATGGGACATTGCTGAATTATTCCAATCACCCCAAAAGAGTTTGCAATGGTTATGGATGCCATCCCATCTGGTATCTTAACTCTCTTAAAAGGGACTGAACACCAGACTGTATACAGCTTCGGACCCTAAGCTGACCTCAGTTGGTAAAATATGTTTTGCTACCACAACGAGGAATAATAATCTTTATTCCAGAGAGATGTCACCAGTATCTCGAATGTTGTTCCCTATTGGTCTAATTTTGTTGACAACCTGAATTGGGGAAATATCTGGAACCTTCCTTACAAATAGTAAGGAAGTCTCTTTCAAAATCATACATAGGTATTATCCTGCTAAGCAATGTCTCCTTAGGTTTAAGCTTGACGTATGTGTCAACTGTTCTTTATGTGGAATATGTCCACAAACAACGGTGCACCTGTTCTGACCCTACACCACCACGTTCTGGAAAGATCTGTCCTGATACATTTCTGATAAACTTTTTCTTTGTTGTGGAAAGATGTACTGTTTGGTTTCCATGACAACAAAAGTAAAAAACAGAAAGAAATATACCTAATTAATTTGTGGATCATTTTAGGGAAATATCATATTCACAAAGCCAAATTTAGTAACTCTAAACCTTCTTTTATTGCTTTTGGTAAGGAAACAGAAAAATACATCAAAACCTGAATCTATGATTCAAAAAACAATAAAACCATCAT